ACACACAGTGTGTGAATAGAAAACAAAAACAATGATAGCAGAAGTTTCAGTTCTGATCTCAGATAAAGTTCAGGTAAAGTCTGGTTTTCACTCTACTACCTTTATAAAATATTGATTTTATGTTTAATCAATCCCAAGTACTAAAAAGAGACTCTTCAAATGTCTGGAAAATGCAGTTTTCCGTAGATCTTTTACTAAATTTTCTAGATAAGTATACCCCAGTACCTCACTAGAACTGCTTCATTCCACAGCTGCTGGTTAACATGAACCTCATGTCAGCAGATGTTGGCAGGTATGAGGCAGACTTCTGATATTCTGTTTCAAATGAATTATATTGTTAACTGTTTTAACTGGACAACCCAGTTTTTAACAATAAAAATAATATCAAAGACAAAAGTATTTAAGTTGGTAAATAGGTAAATTGGCAGTAAGATGTAGAAAATTGCACAAGAGGCGCCACCTGAAATCTTGCCTGTAGGGCGCCACAAACGATTATGATTTCCCAGTGGTTTAAACATGTGTGCACGTTCCTGGAAAGCACTGCAAAGATATTTTAAGCAAGCATTCTATGAGGATTGATGTGTCAGTGCACATTCYACCTGCAGAAACCCCTCAACAAGTYACAGCACGACAGAGCATGCAGACCAAACAGACTGTTGGTTTTAAAAGAGGAGGAAATAATCTGTGTGTTCATGTGTGTATTTGTTTCTGACAGGAACATGCATGCAAATTCACACATGGCCTCAACAGAAAGCGAGCCCAGGGTGTGGTTTATCATCAGTGTGGTTAAATACAATTTACTCTACTTTTTTTCTTGTTTATTAGTGAAAGGATTTGGTAACAACCTCTGACCATTTTCTGTAACACTTAACCCTGAATTTACCACTTCATACATGAGAGCTGTGTTTACTGTGCACACAAGAAATTACAGGAGCAGCCATAAAAATCCCTCTGTCTGTTTGGAGCGGTTGGTTTGTGGTTTTGTTGGGGGAGGGGGTGGGGGTGGGGATGACTGTTTATCATTTCCACACAAAGACCTCTCGTGTGTATATCTGATGTAGARCTCAAGCTGTGTCTGAGTGCAGCTTTAAGGTGAAGAGGGAGGTCCACAGTGGATAATTTCTATCTCTCAGGGCTGGTTCCCACAAGAAACCTGTTGCCATGAGTACTGGGAGGGTTTCTCAGAGCCTGGACC